TTACACAAGAGCTGCCTTTTGAAAACACGATTTGTCCTATTTTCTACCGTCTTAGTCATAAAATTGGCTTCCTGGCTTCTTTTTACAGTCGTTTCTTAGTATTTATGATGAGTGTTGTTCCCGTTTCACTCAGTTTTGACTGGAAGAAGTTCATGACGGGACTGTGTCGTGCAAATACGCTTGGCCTCTATGGGGAGGACACCAAACACCTTTTTAGGGGGAACAATGGTGTCTTAATTCTTCAGGTTGTTGAGGATGTGTCAGGATTTTCACCCAGTCTGCTCACGCATAAACAAATATCACTGATAATTAGTTTTCTACTTAAAGAAACCTCCGAGGCTGCAGACACAAACAGTAGCTGAGCTTCCACATTAAGTCTGAGTCTCCTCTGATTGGACTGTTTTTGTTTGTTTATGTTGAGTTTGTGCCACACACAGTGATGCACAGAAAACTGGTGACCTTGTGGAGGAAAACTTAAAGAGAGGAGAAATGTTTTGCTCATAAGGTCAAGATCTGAGAGTGAATTCAGGACGAAAGCTATCGGTCTGTCGGCCCGACAGTGACGTCGGCTTCGGGACAGTAAGTGGGGGTCACCGTGTGCGATAGTGAGAGAAGCACAGTGTTTGAATTTAATACACCAGCGTGAAGCCATATAGTAACCACAGGAAGAAACCGCTCACTCAGGCTGATGTACGAGGTGCGCTAAAGCCTTTGGTGACACGACTCGTCACCGTCCACCAATCTGTGATCATTTAACAGACCAGTCGAAAGCCTTGGACTAATAACGCTGTGTACTTATTAAATTACTTCTATGCAGAGATGCACGATAGATAGATAGATACTTTATTTATCCCGAGGGAAATTCAAACATCCAGTAGCATACAAACGTACATTAAACATGCATGCAATAGTAATTGGTGGACGTTTTGTGCCAACTGTAGTTTTGGAAAGCGTGTCCCTGCTGGTTGCCTGTAATCGAGTGAGGACATTTAGTAATTGAAGCTCAGCGCGTCTCATATTGGCGACGTTTGAGATCTGTTCTCCTGGCGGCAGCGCTGTCGTGTGACCCGTACAGTGACGAGGTCGGGCTGTTTCGTACTTAAAGGTAACAAAATGAAATGGTCAAACTGGAGCGGCATCAGAAGCTTGCACGCAATGCATCCTGGTACATGGAGACACTGTGCACGAAACTCGTTCGATATAGCACACTGAGGTATTTATTGTTTTAACTGACTGCTTTTTCCGTCAGCACTGATTGGACGTCCGCATCAAACGTGGGAAACCTTCACTTGAGTGTGTCGACAAGTTTTAAAATTAAACCGAATCGCCTTTCGTTGTGTTTGTTCTCACGATCACCGAAGCCGTGAAACCGACAAGGTGGCAGAGAGGTTCGAGACTGTGATACCAAAGCTGTCACGTTCCCAATAAAGATGAATATTCCGAGTTGGTCTTTATTGGGAATGTGATGATCCGTGAAGGATGGAGCGATGTCTGACGGTGTTTGTGATTTGACTTTGTTCCCAGGCTCATAAGGTTCAGATCAGCCTTCCAGGGAGGAAGAAGGAAACGTCGAAGAAGCAGGCGAAGAAAACAAGCTCCACCTCGGTGTCGGCGAAGAATCAAGCCAACCTGAAAAAGTAAACACAACCTTGTTGTTCTTCCTCCGTGTTCACTCCTCTTTGTGGATGATGTTTCCGTCTCCCGCTGTTGTCTCCGTTGTCTTTTAATTCGCGGCCTCCGTCCCCCCGCAGGTCTTCGTCTGTGAGCTCGGAGGGGACGAGCGCAGAGAGAGAAAGGACTGACGCAGAGGAGGAGGAAGAGGAGGCGCAGCGGGATGTGGCAACTTCAGTAGAAGAGCTGGTGGTTGCTGCGCCCCCTGCTGCCCGTGAAGTGCCAGCACACCTTCAGAAACAAGCTGTAAGGAGAACGATGCACCCCGAAACGAGCTCCTGACCTGTACAAATGCCTCCTCCTCCTCCTCACTCATATTCTCTCCATCCTTGTAGATCCCAGAGGAGTTTGACATCGACTCTGAGAACTCGGAGGACTGTTACATGTGTCCGGAGTACGCCAAGGAAATCTTCGACTATCTCAAGCAGAGAGAGGTGAGCCAAACAAACAGAAAGTTTTTTTTGAAAGGAGGCTGTTTTAGGGACGGAAATGTGAACGCAAAGGTCATCGTTCTGTTTTCATCTCGTCTCTCTCCTCTGTTTTTATTGTCCGCAGGAGAAGTTTGTCCTCTGTGACTACATGCCCCAGCAGCCCAGCCTCAACCCCGAGATGAGGGCAATCCTGATCGACTGGCTGGTGGAAGTACAGGTGAGTTTTCCTGGCGGCCTGATGTGAACTTAAAGAGATATCAGGGGTTCAAAGTAGGTGAGGTACATTTTTAAATTTAAACCTCTTTAAATAAACTTAACTTAAAACATGAAGTAGGAAAATTAAAAGGACCCTCGTGTTGCTGCTCAGTTGGATGCCTAATTGCGTAGGTGCCTCTCCAGTTTCTTCTTTCTCTGTGTTTGTGCAGCATGTTGACTGGATTTTGTTCTGCGTGTTTTTGTTCAGGAGAACTTTGAGCTGTACCACGAGACCCTGTACCTCGCCGTAAAGATGACCGACCACTACCTGTCCCAGACTCCGGTCCACAGGGAGATGCTGCAGCTTGTCGGCTCGACCGCCATGCTCATCGCCTCCAAATTTGAGGTGATGACACAAAAACATGCAATTCAGATTAAATTATAGTTTAAATCCAAGTCCTTTTTTTAAAAACGGACTCAAAAGTCTTACATTTAGAATGAAAATATTATCTGTGATAAGGTGTAGCATGAGTGAAAGAGTAGTTTCTCCCTGTAAGGTCACAAAAAGAAGTCGGTTTGAGTGTTTTTTTGTGTCTCTGGACACACGAAACCGCCTCCAAATAGAAAATCTTTAGTCTTAACTGGACCTTAAACTGCCCTCAGCATGGCCGGTGACGAGGTCGAAGTAGACTCTGACCCTAACGCTGCTTTCATCTCTCATTCCGCCGACCCCGCAGGAGCGCAGTCCGCCTTGTGTCGACGACTTCCTCTACATCTGCGACGACGCGTACAAGAGGGAGGAGCTCATCTCCACGGAGGCCAGCATCCTGCAGAAGCTGTCCTTCGACATCAACATCCCCATCCCCTATCGCTTCCTCAGACGCTATGCCAAGGTGTGTGTGTGTGTGTGTGTGTGTGTGTGTGTGTGTCTTCCTCGCATCCTCTTCCCGCCGCAGAGCGTTGTGTTTGTAGGGGTTTTACTCCGTTCAGTCCTGCGAGGTCTCACCGCGCTGTTTGCTGTGCTGTCTCTGCAGTGTGTGAGCGCGGGCATGGACACGCTGACGCTGGCCCGGTACTTCTGCGAGATGAGCCTCATGGAGATGGAGCTGGTGACGGAGAGAGGCTCGCTGCTCGCCTCAGCCTGCCTGCTGATGGCGCTGGTCGCCAAAGACCTCGGAGGATGGGTGGGTTTATTCTCCTTCATCACGGCTTTACACTGCAGAGTTACTTTCACTTTTAGAACCGTACCAGATGTTTTGACTCGACACATCTGGTTTCTGATGTCAAAGTTAGTATTCCTGTCGAACGGCAGTGAGTAAGTTGCCTTATTGCGACTGAAAGGTTTTGATGTTCGCCAGACGTTCAACAGTGATTCATACACCAGTTGCACAAGAGGAAAAGATTATAATGGCTGTTTGTTTTTTAAACCTGTTGCTTTGTTCTGGGCCTGCAACCAACAGTTATTTCTTTAAACTGTTTTTTTAACTGATTGGTTGTTTGTTCCATGAAATGTCAGAAAATTGTGAAATTTTGTCATAGCAGACTAAAGAAACCAGGAAATACTCCCAGTTGAGAAGCTGAAATAAGAGAATTTGAGCGTTTATTCACAATAGTTGGCGATTATTTAACTAATTGGATAATTGACTGATTGTTGCAGCTCTGCTCTGTTAGCCTAATGTTAGCAGTTATTTCAGTGTGGTAGAAACAACCCAGAGGCCCTAAATGAACCTCTCCTCACTGATTGATTTGTAAAAGGCCATTTGTTTGCTCAGCAAGTGAAAATGGTTCCAGTTCAGTTGGCTTCTGGCAACGAGGTGGACTTCAACCCTCGACTGTCCTACTAGGCCGAAGAGCCAGACTGCAGTTCTTCAATTTAAATGTAAATCGTTTTTCTCTGCATATTCGAGTTATCATTGCAGCCGTCGTACAAGAGAGCGGCCGGGGATTTTTATTACGACCCTGGACTCCAGAACCCCAATTTAGAAATGATGTTTGTGTAACTGGAAGCTGCACAGGCGGAGTAATAAAACCTGAGCAAATCACAGCTTTTGTAGCTTTCGGGATTCAACATCGGCTTAGTGTTTTATATGTAAATTGTCCTCCCTCTCTCCTTCTGTTCCTCCGCTCGCTGCAGTCTCCCATCCTCCAGTTCCACTCCGGCTATCAGATGTCCGACTTGGCGCCCGTCGTCAGAAAGCTCCACACGATGCTTTTAGCCCCTCCGGACGACAAACTGAGAGCCATCAGAAACAAATACTCACACAAGTAAGTTGTAAAGACGCATAACACGACTTGTAATGAGGTGGTTGATGCAGACGAGAGCGTTGATGGATTCTTTTTATAAATTTCTTTCAGGGTGTTTTTCGAAGTCGCGTCGCTGCCGTTGGTTAACGTCGACATTTTGGAGAAGGTTTTATCTCAGTGAGACGTCGCCTCCGCAGTACAATTCAAATCCTGCCAGTCTACGTTACAAACATGTATATAACTTGTTAATATGTTTAATATTTATACATGTTGTGTGTCTTTTTTATATATTGGAAATAAACCTTTAATTCCTGTGTTATGATGGAAAAAGAGTTTTAATGTGGGCATGTTGTTATAAAGGAGTTGTTGCCAGTGTATTATGTTAAAGGTTGTCCATAATTACTCTTTAGTGTTGCATTTGAGTTCAATTTTGTTTTGGCATTCATTTTCTAAGAAGATAAAAGAGAGAAATTCATTAGTAATGTACGTATATGTGTAATTTAAAAAAAAAAAAAGGTTTCGTTTGAAGCAAATGAGACGAAGTTGATAAAATGCTCAGTTTTACTAATGAATTATGCACTGGCCCACAAGTTTTATAGGTTTTCATATATTGCTGAAGTCAGCCGGTATTCATGCGTGTATTTTCACACATTGTACAGTGTTTATCATGTTTATATCACTCTGCTAATTATTTGTATAAAAGACGACCGGATGATGCTGTGCTATTTTTAAATGGCTGTCATGCGTACATTTAAAATAAAGATGTGTTTCTTTCTTTCTTTTTTTTTTTTTTTTTTTTCCTAAATGTGTTTTGATAAAGTTTAATTCAGTTTGATCATGTCTTCCTTGTCTGGCTGTAACTCAGGACTTGTGGTTGTGTTGCACGGCCATCAGAGGGCAGTAGTGTTCCTCCAGGCTCAGGTGTTTCTCTGCAGTGGCTGCTGCTGCTTCTCTTGAGCCCAGATTTAAATATTTATGACATGAAATCAGCTCGGTTGCTCTTGAAACTCTCGTTACACCGGAGAATTAATGAACTTTTGCTCAACAGCCCCACTGAAGCAATGTTGGACAACTTGATTCTATAATCTCATAACTTTGAACTTGAATGTTCATTCTTCACCTTTTTAAATAGTAGTCACACATGAAGTTATTAACTAAAGGACCATTTTCCAGCTCTTCAGTGTTAGACATGCTGTACTGAATGGGGCCTTTTTTTGTAAATATTTTAAAAAGTGAAAACCTACAGAGCTAAACGGTCTTCAGTCTGTCGACGCAGGATGTGTTCAGGTTCAGGCACAGCGTTAAGTTGTAGGTCACCTACCTTATTCAGCTCATAGATGCTCACACTTTCACGCTGTAATTAAACGTACCACAAGGAGTTTTTAACTGGTTATGAAACAGTCTTAATTCAGTATTGATGGCCTATTTCTATATAGTTTCTTAATGCCAGCCACCGGGTCTGAGCCCCCTTCAAATCAATGAAATGAGACGGTGTAAACATTACCGCTTTTGTCCACAGGGGCCGCCAGAATCAACCAAAAAAACTTGACAATTAATGGTAGGAACATTGCTCCCATAGTGAATCTTATAAAGTTTAATTGTTTTCTGTCAATTCACTGAACATGTGCATTTTGTGTTTGACGTAAAACACTAAATAAATAAAATAAATAACTGATATCTTACGGTTAACAACTCAATATTCAAGTTTTAGCTGAGAGGAGACGGTCCGTCTGTGCAATAACTTAAATGTGTTAGTTTTCTTATGGTTGCAGCAACTATAAGTGGCATTTTAAGTCACATTGCTCTTTTTTTACCTCTTGCCAGCTCACATTTGAGACTGGACAGAATGAATAAAAGTGAGAAGAATATATTTAAGTCTTGGGGCTTGAAGCAGAACCACAACCACAGAAACTACTATGATTAGACTGTCTCATGAGACTTTCCCCTTCAAAATCCTCAGATGATCAGCGGCGTAGCAGTCGGCTAGCTCCTGGTCTTTAGAGATTTGTACAGATCAATAAGTTGACCAGATTACACCTCAGATCCTGTAATTCTCCCCCTTTTTTTGCTGCCTCATTCTACAGAAACCTGCTGTGGCTATAAGTGACAGTCGGGTGGAGGAGTGGAAATTGATTTTTGTTTCCTCAGATGGAACTGGGACAGACCGGGTCTAAGCTCAAAGTTTCATTTCTCACCATCACAAAGTGTACCTTTGAAAAACTTTCTCTTGCTGAGCTCTTCAATCCACAGAGAAGAACCTGCTTAATACTACATTGGACTGCATTTACTAACATCCACATGTTATTCTCTTCTTCTAGCCGCCAGGGTATCCACTAAGATTCTCCAGCAACCTGCCATCTCTTCTTTTTCTGCTTTAAATGACTTTCAACAGCGAGCTTGGCCCTTGATTCAGCTATGGATTTTATGTCTTCAGCGGCCACGGTGGAACAAGGTTTTCCAGTGGACAAACAAGCGAGTCTTTGTCCTTGTGCAACAACATTGTGACATTGCGTCATAGTCCACCCCGAGGCTGCAGCCAGCTCAGAAACAGATAGATCTGCCTCTTTATGATTATTAAACTTTAAGTCTTTAAAGTAGCTCTGACGATTTAAATCCAACTGATGTTCCACTGTAAGTTATTTAAGGTAAGAACTGAGACATACAGGCTCATCTGGCTGTTTTCTAGCACTATTTGAGGACTTATAGGTATTTTTCTTCCCTTGAAGTAACTCCCTCAAGGACACCTTGATGGCTGTGGCGGAGGAAAGATGGTTTAGTCTACTTTATTTACTTACTTACCAGCACCATCTGGACCACTTCTCCCAACCTTTAGTGGATTTTCCTTTTTAAAAGTTAATCGTAGGAACAAATTGATGATGATGATGAGAAAAAAAAAGGATAATCACACGTGGCTGGAGGAAAGGTAACTGACTCTGAGAATAGACCTGCCTCAGTCATAAACTCACTGTTGTTAGCACATTAAACACACACACACACGCACACGCACACACACAGTATATGGATCCCTGCCAATTCAATTCACTGCCCATCATCTCACACAAACACTCTGAGCCTGGAGACTTCTGAGCCCATTCTTCCTCTATTATTCACTCGATCAATTAAAGTGATTGATTGGGCGTATTGCGAATGTGTGTGTTTGTGTGTGTGTGTGTGTGTGTGTGTGTGCGTTCATTACCCCAGTCCACTGAGCCACACATCCCAATAACTCAGTCTGATTAAAGTGTGCTCGTGGAAGATAGTGCCCATTCGCCCGGGCAGATACACATCTAAACTGGCGCTGCCAAACTCGAATATGAGCTATTGATCGGTGGAGGGCTGGGAAACGGGCTTTCACTCTGTTAGCTTTGCACAATCAGAAGGAGCTGGTTGAGAGCTGGCAGCTTTGCGGTCTTTAGTTTTTCACTTCTGAGGTGCAGCTGCTGTTCAAGATGTCTGAGCTGGAGAATAAAGAGATGGTTGGGGGAGGGTTTTCCATTATTATCCACAGTCACATTAAATCTCGAATGACTTTAAGTCTCTGCATTGCAATTTTTTGAAGGCTGAATTGAGCTAAGATAAGCAACCATTATAATTCAGACTGCGTGCAGAATCATGAGTTCGTCTGGCTGTGAATAAATTCCCTTCTCAGCTCAGAGCGTCACAGCCTGCTTTCAGAATCACAAGCTGATGATGACGATTCGCCCGCTGACGGCCGTTTCTGCTTTCTGCTGAAAAAAACTGTCAGAAAAATGACCACAAAGTAGTGACACGCATGGTAAATCGATACACAGTGGTACAAACTTGACTTGGTTTAGAGATTAAGTTTAATTGCCCACAGCAATGTGTATATATTATGTTACAGGATGTTTTTTGGCCTGTTAAATGCTGTGAAAATAATAATTTTACAAATACAGTTCAAGACTTTTCCAATTTTATTGAACCAAGTGGCTCAAATTTTGATAATTGCTTTCATGCTTTCTCTATGCAGCTTCTGTCTCTCACTTGGCCCGCTTCGTTCTATTTGGTGATTGATTAGTTAGATCTCTGCAAACTCTTTGTCTCTAAAGTCCTTTGAGACACATATGTTTTAAGAGTCGAATTGGCCAAATAAAAAGACACATGGTGGAGGATTTTAGTGGATCAATATGAAGCTGCTTGGCTGACCATGAAGCACAACTGGATGCAACCAAGTGTGAACCTACCATGACGTCACCCATCGGTTTGTGGAGTAGCGTTTTGAAGCCCTGAGTTTAGCGTTATGGTTGTCTCCAGCGGAGGTAACGTATGCCGCTGTATGTACATTTGGGTCTAAAATTTCCGGGTACTTTGGGTGAAAACGTGGCTGAAGTCTGCTTAAAGGGGTTTTAAAGTACAACTGCGTATGAAAAAAATGACTTTTAAGACTTATGTAGCCTGTAAAAGGAACATGAGTGCCTAATGTGATGTCGGTGCCAGTTGGAGCTACAACTCTGAAGAACCCACTCCTCATCGGGTAACGGCTAAAGGCTACATTAGTCGCTATTAGCGTAACACACGTGAATCTCTGACAGAACTGTCGGCGATGCAGAGTTGCATTGTGGGCAATGTAGGCACCAGGTTTGGACAAAGAGGAAGAATAACATGGAATAAAAAAAGCGAATATATCTTCTTTGTCTCATTAAAACTGTCCATCATGAGTCCGACGCCGCCACAGGATTGCATTGTTAAAACTGTGCAGTGCTCTTTTAAGCTTTGAGTTCAGGGATTAAATACATAGAAGGTGGTGTTGCATTCTTAAATCAATATTTCCATTCAATATCCGATGTCTGTAGTATGTCTGTAGTATGTCTGGAGTGACTCAGCCCCTCTCTCTCTTTCTTTCTATTCTGCTTTCTCTGTTTCTTGGACTGAACTGCAAAACAAAACACCAGACACTAGAAATTGCCTCTCATTGTGTTTGGTGTTTCAATACGTATATATATATATGTGTGTTTGTTGTAGCTCACTGATACACACTTGTGTGTTTTTTTGGGGGGGTCTGTTTGTGTGTAGAGTGTGTCTGGCTAATTGTCTTGGCCTCGCCACGTTGCCATTAGCATTCCCAAAGCTGGACGAAGACGAAAAGGGCAACCTCGCCCTGTCTGAGAAAAAGAGGGATTGAGAGAGGAAAGACGGAGCTGGGGGAGGCGAGAAAAACAGATGAGCCAAAACAACCGAATCGAAACAAGCGGCATGAATATGGATGCCGGTCGGGGCAGCAGAGCCAAATGGATACATCATCTGAGACGCCGCTGTGTGAGTGCGTTTCATTAAAGGACTGGAATAATAACAGTGAAAGTGGCTTATTTTCTGACCTTTGTAACCCAGATCTTAAGGCTGTAATGAAAAAGGAAAAACACACAAGCTTAATTTTTTTGGAGGTTTTTGTGGAGGTTGTAAACTTTAATGTTTTAAAACGTGTTTATTGCTTTGTTTTGTCACAATGTCGTCCCTTCTTTAGTGTAGGAAGAGAGACTGAAAACAGGCTACAATCAGTGCACTTCAACTTTCACTGTAACTCGTTTGTTTACATCAACTGACACTTCAACTCCGTTCAGTGCTTTCACCTCGACTGATATTGTTGTTTTAGGTACTTTTATACACTTGATCTTACATTGTAAACATTGTAAACTGTAAAAGCTCTTCAAGTGACACTCAGAACTAAACTTGACACTTCTACTGCTTTTAAATAAAAAAGAAAATTAAGTGTTTACACTTCCAACAACTTCAAGTGCCACTTCAACTCCTTTTAAGTTCCTTCAC